AAACCAGGAAAGGATAGCTCAATGCATTTCAAGCCCTGCAAGTAAATAACCACTAACAAAGCTACTGTTTTAAATTAACAAGAAAATAAGGATAAATTTTATAAATGCAGGAAGGAATCTACTGTGTCCAACACAGTAAAACAACAAACCTGTAATATCAGCAAGGGAAAGAAAAGAACAAATCAGTCAACCAACAAAAGTATATGGGTCAGCAAAACTCTCTCAGTAACAACTATAAATGTAAATCGCTTCAAATTCCCAGTAAAGCGATCTAGAACAGTTGACAGGGTTTAAAAAAAAAAAAAAGTATAACATCAGATAATCTGTTCTCTCTGAGAAACATTCCCCACTTGGAAAGGACACCCGGAGACTGAGTGTCAAAGTATGATGGGTCAGCCTATGATGTGAATGGAAACCAAAACTAAGCTGGTATAGCTATTCTGACACAGGATGAACTAGTCTTCAAGCCAGCATTAATCAGAAGAGACGAAGACCTACATATTGATAAAGGGAACAATTCAGCACAACATAAAATTATAAAAAAAATATGGGCATAAAAGGTCAGGTAGGTCCTGATACAAGAATACTGGGTGACTTGAATAGCCTGCTCTTCTCTTAGATATATTATTGAAGCTAAAACTGAGCAAAGAAATAGCAGTTAAACTATACCACTGATCAAATGAACTTAGCATATAAGTAGAGAATATAATCTTCTCTGCAGCCCAAGGTTACAAAAAGGAAATGAAAAAGTCAAGTAACCAGCATTTGCAGCAACATAATCCCACTCCTAAGATACTAGAAACTCAACCCATTTCTGTGAAAAAAAGGAAAAGGTGAGAAAAAAAAAAGATAAAAAATTAGAAAAATAAAATATAGTTTTCTGGAGGCAGGTTGCCTCAATAAAAAGCATGCTTGGTTTGGGTCAGAAAAAAATTTAAGGAGTCATCACAAAGAAGGCTAAGTCTGAGTGCATACGAATGTTTGAAGTTACGCATACACACAGATATAGACCCAATTTTCATTTACAGCTACATCTTTTCGGTTTGGGACTGTCTTTATGGTCTCCATACTTTCTAAGATAAAATCATCTGTGACAATATATTTACCTAGGAAATAATAGTTCCTATTAACAACAAGTCTGAGTGAATTGTGGGCAATACTAGAGGTTTAAATCACTGCAGGATTGTCAGGGAAAAAGATTTAACATTATCGTGTTCTCATAGGAGGCAAATTTGTATGATTTCACTTAACTGTGTGAATGATTTTTCTATAACTCTCTAAGACATTTCTTTCTCTTTATCAATCACCAAGTCAAATTTGTCATTTAATATTCCTTTATAATTGAGTTATAAACTGTTGATCAAAATTTAAAAAAAAAAGTGTGCCTACATTTCAAAGATGTTTTAAGCAAAAGGTGAATTCTATGATAAAAAGAAGTATGAGGGGAAATGCATAGAACAAGAGAGGAATGTGAGGAAATTACAGAACCCATTAGGTTAACTTATATTTTAGATGAAAGGGAAATAATGTAAGGCCCATTTACAGGTTCTAGAATCTACTCCTTATCAAGTCTCTCAGGCAAGCCACGTGCCCTTCAAACATTTCCATTTCTTTCAATAAAGGCAACAGTTTGCATATGACTTATAAGTCTATAAATATCAGCAGGTCCTCATGCTGTCTCCAAATCTTCTGTCTCGTGTCCTGTTTCTTTTTCCAGTAATATGCCTCTAAAACTGCCCTTTCATTTTCTCTAGAAAGTATGCCAAATACTGTCCTGTTCCTGGACTATTCTAAAGTCTATTCATTCATACCTGAACTCATTCAGAACTTTCCTATAGTGCTGGTTCTGCATAAAAGCTGTCTGACCTACTAGGAGATAGAAGCATCATCAGGCCATATTTCAATAGCAAACCCACCACATTAGGGGCTATGTCAGCTGCTGTTCCTACTCACTGCCCTCCCACTCTAAGTTAAAACAACAGCCCTGAAACATGGGGCACTATCATTTAGAAAGACAGAAACAGAGATTTTCCTCAGTTCTCACTGCTTGTGAAGCATAGGTAGGATTCCATGGGAGTTTTAAGGCTCTTGACCATTAGCTGAAGCTACTGCAACCACTCCTAACTGTCCATCCAAGTCAAAATAGTGAGTGATAACAGGATTCCTCATCCTTGTGCAGCATGTGTTCCTGTAACCTTTCTGGCAAAAAAAAAAAAAAAAAAAAAAAAAGGAAAACAAAGTGTTCCTTTGGCCTGACCTTTAATTTGACATTGGATCACAAACTAAGGCCATAATCCTATCCTTTTATAAATCTTATAAAGCAAGACTATTTTCTCTAATTTTCTGTTTGCTTATGCATGAAGTGGGGTAGTCTTCAGATGGAGTTACAGCTTTACAGGATAAAATATGTAAAGAAGCAAACACAGAATGTTCAATAGGAATTATAGTTCCTAACTACACACAAGTTTTTGTTTTATACAATATACATATTCCTTGTTTTATAAAACTCTGAAATTTCTTCCTCGAGTCACACTATCATCTTCCTCTGTTGATATACACTCTATACATTTACACCATGAATCAATGTCCAATTTTATTTTCAACACCAGACTGAAATTCCACTAACTCTAACTGGCAGTAACCCTCACTCCTAAGTGCCACTGAAGAAGGAAGGAAAGAAAAATTACATATTCAAGACATATGATGAGCTGGGGGTATAGCTCCGTTGGTAGAATGCCTAGCTAGTATTCCTAAGACTCTGAGCTTGATAGCAGTACTGTATGAACCTCACATGGTGGTGTACATTCGCAATCTGCAGTCTCAGGACTGGGAGGTAGACATTGGAGAATCCAAAGCTCAAGGAAGACCTTGCCTCAAAAAAAAAAAAAAAAAAATTTGTGGGAGATCACCAGTGCATTATCTTATCTGATTCTTACACACGCACACACACAGACACACACACAAAGCAAACATGCATCAAGTCAGATAGTAACTGACACAGCTGAGATGCAAATCCACATCAACAACTACAGAAAACTCACTCCTACAAAAAGTACAGTGTGGCCATGTGCTCTCCCTAGACACACACACACACACACACAAAACACACCACAGGGTCAAATTCCACCGCTTAGCCTGAGTGCCTAAAATGGGCTAAAATTTTCTATTCCTATTTCACTTAAATAAAATGCTAGTCAGTTCTCACTAATCTCATTTTCATAGCCACTGATAAATGGTAACGTGAGATAGGAAATTAGCTCTAAAGAAGTATTTAATCTAGTTGAAAATGTAATAGTAGAACAAGCCCTTTCTTGAGCCATACCATTGCTAGAGCAGGAAAATCGCTGCTCCAGCTGCTTCCTTAAATTCCCCTAACAGAAAAGAATCAATAAATTCTCTATGCCGTAGATATAACAAATATCTACGCTCCACAAATATCTTAAACGAATGAATGGATCTGCGTATCTCAGGAAAAATTACATAGTGTAAACACTCTTCCCACCTAATTCCTAATCCTTGAAGTCAAGAACAATCTCTGAACAACCTGCCTGACTTAGTTTTGTTCTGCTTTGTTTTGCCAGGGGTGGGAGGTGGGGAGCACAGCTAGGAGTCAGTACAGAGGATCCTGCACAACCAGTAGGCAAAAGACTACCACTACGCGAAGAATACCCACCACAGGAACAATATTTTTGTACAGCTGTTCAAGAGCCAAGTGTATTTGTAGGTGTTTAAAGAAATCTGGGGCAGAGTTCACCAGAAGAACTCTTGCCTTGAAAGTGCAACAGCTTAGAACCCCAGCAACACCAAAACAGTAACAACATCGTCGTAGTAAATATGAATCAAAGGCTGGCCACAATTCATATAGAAAAGCTAGTAAGCGCAGTCTCTGAGGAAATGTGTATATAGATACAGGTAAGATAAAAGTCCATGTAGGCCTATCCTCGAGATCCTTACTACTAAGGCTGGTACTCCCCAGGATGTACACTGCTTTAAAGTTTATCAAAAATGCATTCCCCAGACCCCACCAATACCTACTGATTCAGAAACCCACCTCTAACATGATCCCTGGGATTGTCTTAAAGGTGAGGAAGCTTTTTATGGTGTACAGTCTACACCATAAAAATGGAACTTGGCTTCTGAAACTATCTTTTCCTGTGTTCTGTCTATAATTACTAATTAGACTTCTCCATAAAGTACAGGCATAATCATCCTGTCGAAGATGTCATCGGCCCAAATTATTACTTCAGTGAGAAATAAGAATGGATCATCCATTGAATATTGAATGAACTTTTAGGAAGCATACACAATCTGATGTCTACCTTCTTAGTATGCGCACTTCAACAAATAAGAAAATGACAATGAACTTCAGTAACCAAATAGTCTATCTTTTAATGCCAAGGATATGGTTACTGAAGAAAACAGTGGCACTCTTGAGGAGAAAATATCTTTATCAGTTTTCAGTGTTACAGGTAGGTTTCCAGATACTCTCTACTGTCCATAAACTGCCCTTCATGCAAACCTGTATAAGAAAATGACCTGGGCGACATGTCAGATCTCCTTAAACACCTTCAATGACTCCCAATCACAGCACAAGACAGGAGGTCCGTCTAGTCTGGCAACTTGCGAAGGCACAATCAATCAGGTAACAACTGTCATCTCTACTGAGACAAGATCTGTGGCTGTGGGGACTTGGGGTGAAACATACCCTTTTTCATATGATGAAGAGGTGAGGGGGTGCTAAAGGAGGCTGAGGAGAGACTGTGGGTATGAATTGACCAAGTGTTCCAACACCTCTCCATCACCAAGTCCCTGGACCCCAGTTCTCAAGTGTCCAGAGCACACCCCCACCCTAGCAACAGGCATTCGGTGACAGCTCGCCCTCGCGGCCCCCTCCCCCTCCTTCCGCCAACGACTCCCCCCCGGGGCCTCCCACCACCCCTAAAGCTGACCCACGAGCAACGGGCCCCGGGAGCCCCTGCACACGCACCAGCCCTGCTCACCAGGTACAGGGGTGCGTAGATCTTGAGGGACTCCTCCAGGGCGCCCCAAGTGATCTGCACGAACGAGACCCGGCAGGAGGGGTGCCAAGTGTGGCCGATCTCATAGCAGTTATGAGGGATGGACTTGCTGAGGGCCGCCATGACGAGCGGAGGCGGCGGCGGCGCGCGGTCGGGGGACCGAGGGGCTCGGCGTGGGCGGCGGACACGCAGCGTCCGGGCGGGCGCCGCGCGGGCCTCGGCGTGCGAGGTGCGGAAAGGTCACGGCAGTGGGTTACTCGGGGCCAGAGTCCTCGGATGTTGGCCGGTCCGCGTATGGCAGCGCGAGGGGGCGGGGCGCGCACGACGGAGGCGGGGCGGGGCGGCGCGTGCGCGCTCCCGCGGGTGGGCGGGCGCGAGCTCCCGGCGCGCTGAGGAAGCGGCGGCCTGCGCCCTCCGCGAGCGAGCGCGCCTCCGGGACGCTGGAGCGGGAACGCCGCAGGGTCAGGCTGTGTAGCTCAGCCTCTCAAAGCCCCGCCAAGTAGAGCCAAGGAGAGTGGAACAAAAGGATTCGATGTCTTTGCTGTTTGCTGGAGGAGCGTGCTCCGCTGTTCTGCCAGTTCTCCCAGGTGTTCACCTAAGTCTACCCGCGGTTGCAACAGAACCCTCTACGTTCTTGCTTCTTGTTCCACCTCCTAAGCTCTTCTGTGCCTGTGAAGCCTTGAAAAAATGTTAATTTGGCTGTGTTCAAATACATACCATATGGAGAAAGGCCGTAGTGAGGCCTGGCCCCACCCTATTGACTGAGGGGTCCTATCAAGAGTCCTACACAGGTGCTCACCACCCAAGCAGTGCACACAGCAGAGGCTGCAGTGGGTGCCATCGGACGGCTGCCTAGCTAGAGAGCTTGACCTGAGATTGATTTCCATGACAAAGCACCAGCCAGAAGGCCAATTGTCCATTTCCTAGTTTATATTGCCTGCTCTCTTTGGACTTCTAAATTCTTTTCTCTTTAAAACAGAAATGTGTTACCGATCAGTCCCTCATCATCATCCAGTTCCTTCTACAATATTTACTAAACTAATACAATTTTCCAAGCCCTGTTTAAAGCCCTCGAGAGACAGAAGTGGAAAAGATGTTTCTGCTGTCATGAAACTAGGGTTCTAGAAGAGAGACAATGAACAGCTAAGTGTGATCTGTCTGAAGGATGCCTGACCATATATATAATATATATATATAATATATATAATATATATTACATATATACATATATATATAATATATATATATATATATGTTGTGTGTTATATAACATCCCAGATTCTTTACAGGTTACCCTGCCAGCTGTCACCCTTGACCCCCTTGATCGCTGCGCTGATTATACAATGACCACTTCACTAACATGACATCCACACACTAGCCAAAAGGGCCAGAGAAAGGGGGAAAGAAGGCAAAGGTCTCAGGCTGTGCCTGGCAGCACACACCTGTAATCCTAGCACTCAGGAGGCTAAGCAGGATGGTCTGGAGTTCAAAGCCAGCCTGAGCTACACAGTGAATTTGACATGAGACTAGGACTGCGTCAAGAGACCTTGCCTTCTTCAAAAAGGAAAAGAGAAACTTTTATGTAGGCCTGTGCAAATGAGTCAGCTAACATCTGTATAACAGGCTGTCAGTTTGGGCAAATGGCAGCCAATGTCTGATGGTTGTATCGCTTCACAAAACAGTTTCTAGGGGAGCTTAAAGCAGCAGCTATAGCGCTACGACTCTGGCTACCCAGACATCTACACAGATCTTTCTTCCCACAGATGAATGTACTTCCCTAGAGAGACAACTGAAAGTTCCCGATTGTTACCACATCCTGTTCAAAGTCCAAGATCTTCCTGAAGATCTGCTATTCAAGTTATCACCCCCACTCAACATGCCTAATATAGAATACTGGGATGGGAACACAATGATCAGTGTTTATAAAGCTCTCCATCTCAGAAAGCAAGCAGGTCAGAAACACACAGCATAAGCTTGCCTTGCTAACTAACATCAATAATCCTATGGTCTAAAAGAAAAATGCTAAAAGTTTTAAGAGAAAAAAGTGCAATGCTTTCTTCTTCAATTATTTGAAGCAAAATATTAAATACAAGTAACAAACTATCATATTGTGATGCTCAGTACTCTATTTTTTCTTTTTTATTGAGAATATTTTTTCATATAGTATATTCTGAACATAGTTGCCGCTCCTTTATGTCCTCCAAGATCCTCCCTACCTCCCCATTCATCCAACTTCATGCCTTCTTTCTCTTTCCTTAGAAAGCAAAAAAGTAAAATAAAAAAGAATAAACAAATCAAACAATAAAAATAAACAAGCAAATACAAAGAAAGAGAAACAAATACACGCACACATGCGCACATACACACCCTTTAACGTAAAATTGGAAAAGATAATAAATAAGCAAAGGACAGTAAGGTAAAGAAAAAAAATGCCAAAACAAAGCATTATGAGACAAAACATCTCCAAAGAGACCATTAAGTTTGTTTTGTGTTGGCCATGCACTGGTGGGCACGGGACCTCCCTTCAGTGTGGTTTGTACAGCCAGTAGGGCTCCATTGGAGGAAACTTTTGAAGACAGCTTCTGGGTTAAGAATGGGGGCTCTCACATCCAGTACCCCCATCAGCACTGGGACCCTATCTGGCTTAAACCTGTGCAGGCCCTGTACATGCTGCCACAATCTCTGTGAGTTCAGTCCCGTTGTATCTGGAAGGCATTGATTCCTTGGTTTCCTCCTTCCCCTCTGGCTCTTACAACCTTTCTACCTATTCTGCATACTCCCTGAGCCCTGCGAGGAGGAGTTTAATAAAGATATTGTGATTAAGACTGAGTGTTCCAAAAGATTATCCTTAGTAAGGTAACACAGGCTCAGAAAGAGATACATGGTATGAACTCACATAAGCAGATTTTGGCCATACACTTCACAGACCCAAAGAAGGCAAGTAACAAGGAGGACCCAAGGGAGGATGCTTAAATCTCACTCAGAAGGGAAATAGAATTGACAGCGGAAGTGGTTGAGCGAACAAGGTAGGAGAGGCAATGAGGAGAGAAATGAGGGTCCATATCAGAGCCCGGGATAGCAGGGGCAGTAGGACAGAGGGCCTGCAATGAGAAGAGAAACCAAGGGTGGGAAGCCTCTCTGTGACAAGCCAGAGACCTACTACAGGGCAGGCTTCTAGGAAGATATGGGGATGACTCTAGCTGAGACTCCTAGTAACAGTAGTCATGGAGCTTGAATATGACACCCTCTAACTAGACAGGACTCCTAGTGGAGGGAGGGGAACATCAACCCACCCACAAAAACTTAAACTCAAAATTTACCCTGCCTACAAGATGTGCAGGGATAAATATAGAGCAGAGATTGAGGGAATGCCCAACCAATGCCTCGCCCAACCTGAGACCCACCCCATGGAAGACAGCCAACCCCTGACACTATTAATGATACTCTGCTTTGCTTGCAGACAGGAGCCTAGCATAGGTGTCCTCTGAGAGGCCCTACCCAGCAGCAGATCGAAACAGATGCTGAGATTCACAACCAAACATTGAGTAAAACTTAGGGAGTCTTGTGGGAAAATGGGGGAAAGCCAGGCACAGTGGTGCATGACTTTAATCCCAGCACTCAGGAGGCAGAGGTAGATGGATCTCTGTGAGTTCAGGGCCACCCTGGTCTATGGAGCGAATTCCAGGGTCGCTATGGCTAGACAGAGAAACCTTGTCTCGAAAAACAGAAACAGAACAAAAGAGAGAGAGGAGAAAGAGAGAGAGAAAGGAAGGAAGGAAGGAAGGAAGGAAGGAAGGAAGGAAGGAAGGAAGGAAGGAAGGAAGGAAGGAAGGAAGGAAGGAAAGAAGGAAAGAAGGGAAGAAGGAAAGAAAGGAAACAGAAAATAAAAAATAAAAGAGAAGTGGCAGGAAAGATAGAAGAACCTGGAGGGGACAGGAGCTCAACAAAAAGACCAACAGAGCCAATTAACCAGGGCCCAAAACAGGGCTTTTAGAGACTGAAGCACCAACCAAGCGCCATGCATGGACTGGCCTCCTACACAGATGTAGCTGATGGGCAGCTTGGGCTTCATGTGGGTTCCCAATAAGGAAAGCAGCAGGGGCTGCTTTGACATGGACTCTGTTGCCAGCGTTTTGATCACTACCCCCTGGTGGGGCTGCCTCAACAGGCCACAGGGGTAGAGGATGCACTCAGTCCTCATTGAGTTCATGTGCATGGGTGGGTTGGTAGTGAGGGACTCCCTTTTCCTGAGGAGGAGGGGAGGAGGGATATAGGGAAAAGGGAAAGAGAGTGGGACCAGAAGGACAGGAGGGAGGGGCTACGATCGAGATGGAAAGTGAATTAATTAAGTAGTTAATTAATTAAAATAACTGAAAATTAAAAAGATTGAGTGTTCCAAGCTCTCACTCTCTATGTATCATACAGTTGTGGGTCTCTGTTATCTGTTCCCGTCAATTGCGGGAGGAAGCTTCTCTGATGATAAATGCACAGTATTTTTAAAATAGCACTTTAAAATTTGAATAGAGCTTAGTAGTTTAGTGCTTCCTTAACATGCTGGAGGGTCTGGATTTAATCCCTAGCACCATAGTCACACATACACACACACATGCAAACACACCACCACCACCACCAAACAATACAAAGATAACACTAAGTTGTTTTTGAATATAATAACATACGAAGTTTGCGTAGCTTATTTAAAAAAAAGTCATTGTGTACCAAGTGATACAGAAATTGCATACCAATAACTAAGAAATTTTAAAATTGCAATTAAATGAGGTGATCTCTTTTTATTAACCATTAAACAATTGGGGTCTTGAAGTTTAAAGAAATCTGAGAACAGAATTATTGCCACTGATGCCAACGGTGATGGTGCTGATAGGTGAGTAGCAAAGGAGCTGTTTCAGGCAAGCTTACAGGATCATAGGAAAAGAAGGGTGCTCAGGTCTAATGCAGCCAGAGGGCTCCAGAATAGGAAGGCATTAGAACAGTGGCTCTCAAACCGCCTAATGCTACCACCCTTTAACAAGTTCCTCATGTTATGGTGATTCCCCAATCAGAAAACTCTTTTCATTGCTACTTCATAACTGTAATTTTGCTACTGTTATAAATTGTAATGAAAATATCTGTTTTCCAAAGGTATTAGATGACACACTTTGTGAAAGGGTCATTTGACCCCCAAAAGGGGTTGTGACCCACAGGTTGCAGATCACTGCATTAGAAACTCCTCAGGATAGGGGTCTGTGGTTATTTGAATAAGAATGGCCCCCAGAGGCTCATATGTTTGTGTGGGGC